AGAGCCTGTGGGGGCCTGAGGGCATGAGCGTACATGTGTGGGGGGGTGTGAGCATGGGTGTGGGTGTCTGCATGTGAGGGGGGTGCAAGGGTATGTGTGCGCGTGTGTGGGTTGTGAGCATGTGTGAAGGATGTATGCGTGTGAGGGTGTGGGGGATGTGCGTGTGAGTGTCTGTGGGGGGGTCTGCGTCAGCAGGTGTACAAAGGGATTGCAAGAGCGGGTGTGTGAGGGTGTGAGTGAACATGTCAGGGGATGTGTGTGTGTGTTAGGGCATGTGAGAGTGGGCGTGACAGCATGAGTGTGTGTGTGGGGGGGTGACCCTGTGTGGGCTGGGTCTGTCAGCATGTGTGTGCTGGGGGGTGTGAGCATGCATGCTGGGGTGTGTGAGAGCTGGTGTGTGTATACAGGGGTGATAGCATGTGCACGCGTGTGTGGGGTGAGTCTGTGTCAGCCTGTGTGTATGGGGGGGGGAGCATGTGTGCTGTGGTGTGTGGGAGCATGTGTGTGTGCATGCAGGGGGTAGGCATGTGTGGGAAGTACAAGAGCATGCGTGCGTGCGTGCGTGCGGCAGGGGTGTGAGTGTGTCACACAGGGCAATTGTGCACAGTGCTCGGAGCTGTACGGCTGCTCTGAACCGGGGGCCTTGCCAGAGCTCACAAGACAACGTGGCCCACGTGACGCCCCCTCCAGGGCAGACCCGGACCAGCCCCCGCCCCTCAAAATCCAGGCCAGCAAAGCCCCCTGCAGCCACTGGTAAAGGCAAGAGGAGGAGGAGGAGGAGGGGAGGAAGCTCCACACTGTCCCCAGAAGAGCCACACCGGGGGGGGGGGGGGGGGTGCTGTATGATCTGGTGGGGGACAGGGACACCTGGGGACTCCAGCCCCTCTCCCAGACTGCCAGGCCTGCTGGGGCGGGGCCAGGCCAGGAGGGGGTTCATCTCCGAGAGTGCAGAGGCAGCACATTCCCACGCAGCGGAGACCAGGCCGGGTGCCAGCCCCAGCGGGGCGGGGGGCCATGAGCCGTGGAGGAGGGGGCTGGGGAGGGTTCGGATTCTCCGAGCCCTCCGGAGACCTCGCTCAGGACCCTGTGCATCCCGGGCGGCCGCCCAGAGGTGATGCAGTCGGCTCTGGGGAGCCCGAGAGAAACACAAGGGCATCGGAGTCGCCAGGGATGGGGGCAGACCCCGCATCCGTGCTGCCCAGTCCCCGCATGCCAGAGAATGACGGGGTCCGGGCAGGGTTTCCCCCTGTTCCTCTCCCCGTCGCAGCCATCGAGGGTCCGGGATGTGGCGATCCCAAAGCTGTGCCCTGCACTCCTGTGCCCGACAGCCCCCGATGTCCCTTTCCCCCAGCACGGGCCCAGCCCCCGGGGGGATCTGGCTGAACTCGCTGCTCCCCCTGCACCCAGTGCCTGCGAGCTCCCCCCTTTCACCCCACGCGGGGGGAAACAACCATCTCAGTGTCAGAGTTACACTGCCGGCCTGCTCATCTCGGGCCGGGACCCCTCATCCTTGTCTGGCGAGACACGGCCAGGAATCAATGCCCCGGGACCATCTCTTCACCACTTTGTATGTTATAAACCCTTGCACTGTCCCCTCTCCAGCACCTCTCTCCTAATCCCCCCAGGCCTGGCCTCGTTAGTCTCCCCCATAGCCCGATCCCCCTCGCTGCCCTTCTCTGCACCTTCCCCACCTCTTTGCAATATAGAAAACCAGCACGGGAGAGGGGGGCACGGCCTCGGGATGAATACGTCTTGGACCTTCAATGCTGGAGGCTGCGAGGGGGAAAGAAACGTGCGAAATCCCTGCTCAGATCCCGTCCCTCTCCCTTCCAGCTCTGCTCTCGGACGCAGGGGACAGGGCAGGCCGGACCTTGGGTCTGATCCAGCCCGCGGCAGCTCTGATGCTCACGTTCTTTTCTAGGAAGACCCACGCCCTTAGGTCCACCCGGCAATTTTCTCTGCCGCGGCCCAGAAAACCCGAGCCACCGTCTGGAAGCGCCGGTATTTTTAGCTCCAAAGGGCACTTAGAAATCAGTGGAAACCACAGGGTGGAAACCAGCCAGCGCCTGAAGCCGGGGAGGAGGGGGCTGCGGGCCCCCCGGACCCTGCCCCCCCCCAGAGAAAAGTCCCCCGAGAGCCTGCACTTCTGGGAGGGCCAGAGCAGGGACCCTTGGGAGGTTACATGTAGGCTGCTGTTCCCCACCATGGGACCCCTGGGGGAGGGGGGCAGCATGGAGGGGAGGGTCCTGGGACACACCTTGCCCCTGGCAGGGAGAATGGGGGCAGCGTGGCCGGTCCCCAGCCCCCTGACCTGGCACTGGGAGCTGGCACACGGAGATCGGGGGAGCCAGAGCTAGGGAGACAGGCCACCCCCTTCCCCATTCCCATCTGTGCCCCCAATGCGGTGACCCCCCAACATGGCTCTGGAGCTCCAAGGGGGTCCCTCATATTCTCCCAGCTGGGTGCAGGATGCAGCTGCATCTGGGGTGGGCCTAAGAGACCTGGGGGGAGACGGGGTATGGGGGGATCTGCAATGACCATATTGCCCTTAATGACTGGCACCTTAAAAAAGATCCAAGGGAGGATGATGATTTGGGGGGGGTATCTGGTGCCAGCTGGGAAGGGTTCGTCCCTGACTCTGGGCATGGAGAGCTGACAGGACCCCGCCAAGCCATGGCAGGGTGTCAGGTAACCCCTGAGAGACCCCTGCCTCACTCACCTTTACCTTCTGCGAGCCATGCTGGATGGCCGTGATGCAGGCGGGGGCCACGGGGGGCCTGGGCCGCTTGGCCGATTCCTCGATGAGGCCTTGCCATTGGCGTGGCAGCCCCGTGAACTTCTGCTCCTGCTGGTCGTACCCCGTGTGCACCCGGTGCTCAAAGTTGGAGGGGCCCGAAATCTCCAGGCGCTTCTTTTTCTTGCTGAACATGGCGAGGTCGGCTACGAGGCCTGAAAGAGATTGGGAGGGGGGTGGTCACAGGGGATGCCCAGGGTACCAGGGGCCTGTGGCAGGGACTGTGGAGCCTGGCAGCTGGCAAAGATGGCAGGCAAGACATGTGGGCATGTGGGGAACTGGCGCTGGGCCCAGTATGATGCTGATGGAAGGGCAGAAGCCAGGATTCGGGAGGCCGGTGGGACACCAGGCCCACTCATGAACATGTACACACATGCAAGCACACCCCCATGCACGCACATGCCCACACACACATGCACACACCTGTACACGAGAGCACATGCACCTATACACATGCCCACCAACAGGTGCACATGCATGCAAAACTACACACACACATATATGCAAAAACATGCCCACACACGCCAAAGCACACCCGCCCACACATGCGTGTATACCCACAGGTGCACCTGCATGTGCTCCACTACCTACACATGTGTGCATGCACACGCGCCCACACACATCAGCTCCCCTTGCAGACAGCTGCCCCCCACCCAGCAAACAACCGGACACTGCACTGGAAGCGCCGGGCAAGCTTCCCGGCGTCCCTGCAGGGCCTCGGCTCTGGGTCTCAGCACCCCCGGGGCCCCGCCTGCCCTCTCCCTGCTGGGCACCGCAGCCACTCCACGCCCAGGCGGGGCTGGGGAGGAAGGAAGGTGAGGAGGAAGCTCAGCGGATGTTTATGAGCTTTCCTCCCACGGGGCCCGGCCGGCGGGCCCTTCCTCTCCTGAACCAGCCTTACTCAGGCTCCAGGACCCCGGGCGCTTCCAGGCTCAGGTGAGACACAGGCAGAGCCCAGCAGGCATCGGGGCCAGTGGGGGCCAGCACAGACCTGGAGGCCTGTCCTCCTGGATGCACAGACCCAAGAACACCCCCCACACCCAGCTCTGGCCCTGCATCCATGCTGGCAGGGAGGCACCACGCAGTGCTCGTATGTGCCCCTGAAAGCTGCTTTCTGTCCTGAAGGACCCTTGTCCTCTCCTGGCAGGGCAGGCAACTCCATCCAGCCAGGTCAAAGCCCACCCCGTGCAAGGGCAAGAGGGAGAGGGAGCTCCTCCAGTCAGGGCTGCTGGTTCTCCAGGCAGGCATGAACCTGCGTGTTTCTCCGCGGGCAGGACAGGGTCCCCCCCAGACACCGCTCAAGACGTGGTCCTGGTAACCCGGCATAGATCCGAGAGAAGCCGATGGCTCAGAGCCTTCCACCACCCCAAGCACGAACCGCGGAGGCCGGGGTTTCTCCCCTCCCGGGTCCGAGGCATCCAGGCCACGGCTGAGAGAAAGCTTCGGCTCCGGAGATGAGAGGCGCAGGTTTTCCTGGCTGCAGAGGCTTCTCTAGCTGAACAGCAGCTCGCAGGCTACAACCAGACCTAGATCACGGAGGCGGGGGGAACGCAAGAGACATCTCCAGGCCTGGGCGGATCTAGGATTTTGGAAAGGTGGGTGCACCTGGCATGGGCACATCATCCTGTAAGGCTCAACCGCTATTTTTCTGCCACTAAAGCAAAACCAGAAGCTTAATGAATAAGGAGTGAGGCTGGCACTAGACGATCCCAGTTAAAAGCACAGCAAAGACCACCAGAGCTACGGCCCGCGTGCTCGTTTGCTAGATGATCTATCAAGTTTTAAAAGAAAAGAACCAGAACACGACGCGCCAGAAAAAGCCAAAAGCCGCCGCGTCATGAGCCCTGCGGCCAGGAACAGTTCATCGGACGTCTCTTATTTGGCGCCACGCACCAAAACCGTGATTTCTCGAGTGCCTCCAATACATCGTCGTCGGTCACCCCTGCCCCTGCGACAGCGCAAAGGGCTGGAGCTAGAGCTACAAATGGCCTGCAGGGCTGGGGAGAGGAGGAGAGAGGGTCGCAGGAAGGGCAGGCAAGCAGAGAAAAGGCGAGCTTGAAGAGTGGAACATCAAGACCATTAGGAAAGGAGAAAGGGCCGTTCACACCCGTGGAGCGGAGAGATTAGCAGGAATCCAGATGATGATAATAAGCCGCAAAGTCAATTGACACCCTGGCTGCTGCTTGCATAGAAATGCCGCTGCCCCTGCCTGGTTTGTGTGAACAGGACTCGAAATGGGGGGGTGACTGCCCCCCGCCCCCTCCCCAGGCACTTCCGGCAGTCTGCTGCTTTCCCCCCCTCCTGCTCACATGACATGACGGGGACAGATTCATTGTAAAGCCCCCGAAACCCAGGCAGCGGGGAGACAGTCCGGCTTGCGGGCACTTCTGTGGTTCGGGAGAGAAGAAGCGGCCGGTGCCATCTGTGCCCCCTGCCTCCACCTCCCTGATGCCCTTGGCAAAGACGCCACGGCCCCAGGGCTAACCCCGCGGCCTGCCCGAATGCAACGCGCCACCCGAGCAGCGGGCAAATGCTCTGCAGGGGCACCATGGAAGTGCCTGGATCCTGTCTGAGCCCTGACGGCGAGCTGTAGAGCAGGGGGGGATTCCAGCGCACCCCAGAGGTCCCAACCTATTCGGCATCACCCGGGGTCGGCTCCCTGCGGGGCTGGGTGCACCAAGAGGGGGGATGGAGGCAGGGAGAAGTGTGGCCTTGGTGAGGGGAAGATCTGGGGGGCAGCGGCCGAGAGCCGGGAGGAACTTACATGCCCATTCGTCGTGGGACCTCATCACGGCCCGTCTCGGGGCCCTCAGTACACCCAGGCCCCTGGAGAACGAGCCCGGGCTCTGTCTCCTGGCTAATGGCTTCCCCAAACCAGCCGCACGGCTTTAGGCTCCCTCCTTCCGGGCCGGGCCGGCTGGGGGCTCGCCAGGCTGGCAGGCCCCGGGGCGGGGTGGGGCGCAGTGCCACCCACGCGGGTTCCTGGAGTCCTGGCCTCTGATTCACCCGTCCCCTCCCAGCGGGCACTGGGCTGCGCTGCCCTCCCGCCCGCGGCAGGAGGGAGCTGTGGCACCTCTGTCGGGGAGAGAGAAGTGGGCTGGCCCCAAAACGCAGCCGGCTTTCGGTTGCCAAGGGCTCGCAGGCACGTTCCAAGGTCCTGGACTGGCTTCTGCCCCAGGACAGCCTGGCCTGAACGAGAGGGAGAGGAGCATCTTCCCCGGTGCGCAGAGAAGGAAACTGAGGCACGGAGCTACAAAGTAACTGGGCGGGGCTGCAAGGGGGGGGCGTGGCCCCGGCCATCCTGAGCCTAGAACCGAAGTCGTGAACCCAGGTCGTGTCCCTTCTGCTTCCCCCAAGCCTAGAACCCAGCCTGCCTTGCTCTCATAGACATCTTTAACCCCAAATTGGCCTGCTCCGCCCAAACCTCAACCCTCCAGCGCCACCCACACACAGACCCCAGGCCTTCAGAACACACACCTGTGCACATACACACACAACCCAGGCATCCAAGACACACACGCAGAACGAACCCAGGCATCCAGGAAACATGCACAACCCAGATGTCTGGGACAGATAGGCACATGCACACGCATCCTCCCAGGTATTCAGGACACGGACACACAAAACCCAAGCGTCCTGGATGGACACACACACACAACCCAGGCATCCAGGACACACACACATGACCTGGGAATCCAGGATGCACGCACACACAGAACCCAGGCATTCAGAAAACACACACAATGCAGGTGTCTGGGACACACACACACACACGCACAGAACCCAGGCATCCAGGAAACCCACCCACCCCCCCCTCCAGGTGTCCGTGACGGATACACACCCACCAATACACACGCACAGACCCCAGGTGTCTGTGACGGAGACACACACACAAATAGACACGCACAGAACCCAGGCATCCAGGACACACACACATGACCTGGGAATCCAGGATGCACGCACACACAGAACCCAGGTGTCTGGGACGGATATGCACACGAATACACACACACAAATAGACACGCACAGAACCCAGGCATCCAGGACACACACACATGACCTGGGAATCCAGGATGCACGCACACACAGAACCCAGGTGTCTGGGACGGATATGCACACGAATACACACACACAAATAGACACGCACAGAACCCAGGCATCCAGGACACACACACATGACCTGGGAATCCAGGATGCACGCACACACAGAACCCAGGTGTCTGGGACGGATATGCACACGAATACACACACACAAATAGACACGCACAGAACCCAGGCATCCAGGACACACACACATGACCTGGGAATCCAGGATGCACGCACACACAGAACCCAGGTGTCTGGGACGGATATGCACACGAATACACACACACAAATAGACACGCACAGAACCCAGGCATCCAGGACACACACACATGACCTGGGAATCCAGGATGCACGCACACACAGAACCCAGGTGTCTGGGACGGATATGCACACGAATACACACACACAAATAGACACGCACAGAACCCAGGCATCCAGGACACACACACATGACCTGGGAATCCAGGATGCACGCACACACAGAACCCAGGTGTCTGGGACGGATATGCACACGAATACACACACACAAATAGACACGCACAGAACCCAGGCATCCAGGACACACACACATGACCTGGGAATCCAGGATGCACGCACACACAGAACCCAGGTGTCTGGGACGGATATGCACACGAATACACACACACAAATAGACACGCACAGAACCCAGGCATCCAGGACACACACACATGACCTGGGAATCCAGGATGCACGCACACACAGAACCCAGGTGTCTGGGACGGATATGCACACGAATACACACACACAAATAGACACGCACAGAACCCAGGCATCCAGGACACACACACATGACCTGGGAATCCAGGATGCACGCACACACAGAACCCAGGTGTCTGGGACGGATATGCACACGAATACACACACACAAATAGACACGCACAGAACCCAGGCATCCAGGACACACACACATGACCTGGGAATCCAGGATGCACGCACACACAGAACCCAGGTGTCTGGGACGGATATGCACACGAATACACACACACAAATAGACACGCACAGAACCCAGGCATCCAGGACACACACACATGACCTGGGAATCCAGGAT